ATGAAGCCTCCATGTATATACAATATTTTGACATCATTATCTGTTCTCTCAATGATAAAATTTCATTGTATACAAATTAAATATTATGTTATTAAATCAATAATACCATACATTTGTGTTTATCCCCCCCCCCCACAATATTGTTAATTGTTATTTTTTCTACCATGATTCAACCAAATTGTTATTTTTTCTACCATGATTCAACCAAACACAGTTCAGCCACACAGGTCATAGCTTTCTCCTTCCAAAATCTTTTATGCACACTCTGTTACTCCGCAACTTTGAAAGACTCCTTACTATACAGAATGCCCATGTTCTCATGGGCATTCGGTTATCAAGAAATGTGTGGTGTTGTATTATGCTGTAGTGATCTTTCTAGGACAGGTCTTATATATATTTTTATCTTTAGCTCATGACTCATCCCATCATTCCTCCATACCGGATTTACTCGATCTTACAGGGTTAATACAAGACGATCGGGGTATAGACACAAAAACCGCTTATAACCCAAATAGCACGCATCATCTGGCATTTTAGCAGCGTGTGCAAGCGACGCATTCACTGTAACAATGAAGCGGCTTTATTAAAAACTATTTTCTCCGATGAAACGTCTCTTTGTTATTTTTTTTTTTTCAATTTCCAGATGGCTTTTCGCGGCCCTCAAAAAATGTTTCGGGGCCCAAATTTGGGCCCTGGACCATAGTTTTCGGAACGTCGATCTTAATGATATGTGACTTGATAAAGCTTGCAAGAAAGTTTGTTTATACATGTTTTGGCACATAAGACAAGTGTTAAAACTTCAATGATGACAGTTTTGGTGGCAATGACCAAATGACATCAGTAACAACAATAATAATGATTATAATAATCAAATCAAAACAAGAAAAAAACAATGATATATCAAAACAATACAAAAATAGGCTCTCCCAGCAGGAGCATGTGTACTATTACCTTCACGTGTTTTGTTTTGTCCATGCTTTCTGTGCTGTCAGTCACTTGAATTAACTGTACAAGTTTACCAGCTTTAGCATCTTTCTGTGTTGACAATTCAGCATAATAAACTAGGGATTTCCAGAGATTTATGCAATATATTTTTTTAAATGCTCCCACTTAATTCATTGATCTCTCCTTTATTTTGTAATTAATTCCTTTTTGTGTATACCATACTTTTTCCTTTTCTATTTATCACTTTTTTATTTTTTTTAACTGGACCACAATGAAAACCAATACCTTTGCATTGAGAGTGCCATTTAGTATAAAGCAAGTTGAATATTAATAAATAAATAAATAAATTGATAACTTACTGTTACTACTGTACTAGGACAGGTCGTGATCATAATTTTTTGGACCATTTCCCAATGAAATAACAGCAAGATGTGGTTAAAATGTCAATACATTTTTTTTTAATAAAATAGAAATTGCTGTCGAATTGACAGACTGAGGACGTTCATTCCTTGTTGAAAAACATTATAGGCACTGATACCTACAATATGAGCAGTTGAAAGTGTCATTTAATAAAGTGCAGAAAATCGCATGAATTGGCCTACCATTAGAACAGCTTTGTGATTCTAATAATATAGGCAAAATTATACCTAATACCAGTCCTTATCTGAGACCGCAACGCCACTTAGGATATGCCATCTATACCTGCTCTGCCACACAATCATTTTTTATTTTATTTTATTTTATTCAGGTATGGAAAACATTACAACAAGCAGAACAAGTCTGAAATTATTGTATTACAAGATTAAAAAATACATGAAATGAGAAATATCAAAAAACAAACACAAATATTGAATTACATATAAAAATATTAACAACACATCACAATTTCGTTCACTTTCAGATAACGTGAGAACTAATCCAAAACGTTTCTGGACTTTGATGAAGACAATAATGTCGTATGGGGACAGGGTCGCAGAAACTGCTAAAAAAAAAATCTATTATTTTCAATTCCTTTTTTCATTCTGTTTTTCAAAAAGATGTTTTTCCAATTACTGAACAGCATCTAGCTCTCCCTGAAGCTTCTCTTGGTATCCTGGCGTTACCAGTCATCCAGCCTGAGTCTGTTTATAAACTTCTAATGTCGCTTAAAATTCATAAAGCAATTGGCTGTGATGAACTCAGTATCCATGTTTTAAAGGTGTGTGCCAGGCCTTTATCAATTCCTATCTGTCATATCTTTAATAAATCACTGACTACAGGTAAATTTCCTTTTGTTTGGAAACAATCAAACATTGTTCCTATTCACAAATTCGGTACTAAGAAGTCCGTGACTAATTATAGACCCATCTCGCTGCGGCCTACCATCTCTAAAGTTGTTTGAAAAAATTATGTTCACTCATATTTGGTCTCATGTCTCTCCTGCGATCTCCCCTTGTCAACATGGTTTCGTTCCCGGTAGGTCATGCGAGACAAACCTAGCTTGTCTCCTGACTACTGTGTATAACTCCATTAATGACAAGGGGCAATGCGATATTATTTATACCGATTTTTCAGAAGCTTTTGGTTTAGTTCCCCACAATTTACTTATTTTGAAATTAAGACAATATGGTTTTCATTTTAATCTTTTGTCATGGTTTAGAGATTTTTTAGATGGCAGGCTGCAGCGATTTGTTATTGAAGGCGAGACATCGGGGTGGCTTCCGGTCAACTCGGTGTCACTCAAGGCTCCATTTTAGGGCCTCTTCTTTTTAACCTGTATGTGAATGATATTCCCTTTATATTTAAAGACTCAAAATGTCTTATGTTTGCAGATGACTTAAAAATTTTCCAAAAAGTGGAAAAATTAGATGACGCTGACAAGCTTCAAGGAGACAAACTGTGTTCTTGGTCGCACTTATGGGGTATGGTGTTGAACCCTAAGAAGTGCAATACCATGACCATCACTTTAAATAAAAACAAAATTAATTATATTTATTTAGTTGATGACAATCCTATTAATAAGGTGCAGCATCATCGTGATCTCGGTATTATTTTAGATTGTTCTCTCACATTTTCTTTTTATGTTGAAAGTCTTCTTAAAAAGTGCAATTAGGCTGCTTGGGCTGATGTGGCGCAATTGTAAATACCTGGATACCCATTCTAAGATTCATCTCTACCTCACACTTATTCAACCTAATTTAGATTTCTGTTCTATTATTTTTAATTAATTCTCAAAAACTCAGGCCTCGCGCATTGAGCAGCTTCATTCCAAGTTTTTGCACTACATCATTCATACATTTCATTTGTACCCTGTTGTTCAAATGACAATAAAGAATATCGTATCGTATCGTATCGTATCATATCGTACATCAGCCACAACCAGACCATTGAGAAAAATTTAAACAATGACATTAAAAATACTTGCAATAATGATTATCACTTTTCTATACATTCACCTCTGTCCCGCAGATATCTTAAAGATCTTATTTTTCTATCAGCCAATTCATATTCTTGACAGCAATTTGACCTCTGAAAGGTCATTGTTTGTCAAAAAACAAGGGCCTAAAATGACTGAAAAGCGGCGTTTCCTTCTTTCGTTCTGCCGGGTAAAATCAATTACTTTAGACGACGTTTGTAGACTAACCTACACGTACCAACGTCCGCATGTCGTGACGCTCGAGTACAGTTAAACTTATTTACTAACCTATTTCAGCGTGCTAATTATTTATAAATAATTTTGTTTGAAGAACATTTATATGCAGTTGCACTTCGCAGCACTTCACTTGCAATTTGCAATTTCTAGTATAGTAGTTAAGTGTAGTAGTAGTAAAACTTTATTTATTCACGAAGCACAAATCAACAAATACATGCTGTTTTTCATTATGGCCGTGAGATACCTTATTTACAATTAACAAATTACACATAAAGGTACATCATAAAAAGGAAAAGTTAAATGCAGAAATTAAATAAAATAGATACAAAATATAATTATTAAACAGTATTGTATGCCAAAGTCAACAAATTAATAAAATAAAAGTACTGTAATCTATACCTAACAAAGGCAAAATAAACTATGGAAAAGAAGAAAATCCATTCCACAAAAGTAAACAGAAAATTACAAAAAGAATGTAAAATATAAATAAAACAAGGCAAGAAAACATCAAAATAGGGATTTATACAATGTTCATACTACTGTATTTAACTTTGGTTTCATTAATTATTAGTACAGATGTGGTTTTTGAAATAGTTAAATTGGTAGAAGACTGAACATCAGGGGTTAATTTATTCCATTCAATAGCACCACGATATGAGATACTTCTTTTTTTGTAATTAGTCTTTGGTTTGGGAACATATACATTTGTTTTACTTTTACGAAAGTCATAGCTGTAATCATTGAAAGAAAACAAGTATGTTAAGTAAGATGGTGCCATATTATTTAAAATTTTATAAACAAGAATATTACATTCATTAATATATTTATTTGAAATTGGAAGCCAATTTAATTTACTAAGTACATTTGTACTAGGTGAGTCCCAGGCTGCTCCACAAACAACACGAGCTGTTCTGTTTTGGATTGTTTGTAGTTGTTTGGAAACAGTTGAGCCACAGTTTCCCCACACAATGTTGCAATATTTAAGGTGAGGGATTATTATAGCATTAGAAACCATTTTTAATATAGATTGTGAAAGGTATGGTTTGGATCTTTTTAACATATATAAACCTTTCAAAGATTTTTTCCGAATATTTTCAACATTGGCATTCCAAGATAAATTTTAATCTATAATGACTCCAAGATGCTTACATGATTTTACATTTGAAAATTTTCTTCCATCAATTTGAACAGTTATAGGCTTATCATCTTTTGTACTTGCTAGGCGTTGTCTTGAGCCAATTAACATAAACTCAGATTTTTCAATGTTTAAGCTAAGTTTGTTACATGAGAGCCACTTGTATACAGATTCTAAATCACCATTAATACATTCGATGGTATCATTGATTGAGTTTGATGCATAATATATGGCTGTGTCATCAGCATACATGCTAACTTTACACTGTGTTACAATATTTGGGATATACATAAGAAATGCAAGAGGACCTATAATAGAACCTTGTGGTATTCCACATTGAACCTTTTTAGTGTTTGATATAGCCCCATCAATACATTCATTTGAACACGATCACTTAAATAGCATTTGAACCAATCAAGACTATATTTACTTACACCATATAGTTTTAATTTACCTAATAATATAGAATGGTCTACTGTGTCGAATGCCTTTTTTAAATTGACCATTGGTGACCATTATTCTAATTATTTAGACCCTGATATATTTCATTTACACACTCTTTACAATCAGGTTTATTCACTTGAGAATAAACCTGTTGTTCATTTTTCAGTTCTTCGCAATCTTTGTTAGGTTGAGCTCTAATTTGATCCAAATCCTTCAGTTTTGTATTCGATTGTTTCTTATTAGCTACATTAATATCATCGCTGCTTAACATATCACCTCCAGCTTATATTTCATTTTCTGTTTCCTGATAATCTGCGCGGAATTCATTGACGTCGATCGCAGCATAATCATAAATTTCATTATTTAGTTCAACCTGGGGATCATCACTCCTAAATCTAGGTGACGTATTCCTGCCTTTTGATGTTTGTTGATTTTTAATTCGCTTTCGTCTCAAAAACAAAAAGATTATTATAAATGCAACCACAACACAGAATAGAACACAAATAACTACAATAATGACTGAAGTGCTCTGAGATCCATCATCTTCATCCCTGTTATTCACATCTGGAATTATTCCACTTCCATCTTCTTCATCCCTATTAGTCACAGTTGGAATGTTGCCACTCTCATCTTCTTCATCCCTATTATTCAAAGTTGGAATACGTAAAGTCTTGTTTCCCTTTCCAATGGCATTTTCTGCTTCACATGTTATTTTCATCTCAGATTCAACTTCCATTGGTTTAATGATTGTTAAAACTCCATTTGAAATTGTGAAACTGTCTTTTGGAATACTAGGCTCTCTAATCCAGTGTGTTTCATTTACAGGAGGCCTAGCCTCTGCTGTACAGTGAAATGCCATTTGAGATATTTGTGTGATGTTAATCTCAGGTTTGTAGTTGACAGTGATGGGGCCTATTGAGCAATTTTTGATCTCATTTGTTCCCTTTCTCCTTAATTCACAAACAAACATTGCATTGTGGTCCCCTTTTGTTAAAGTGAAATTGTGCATAATGTAGCTTGTTTTTTTATTAAAGAAAGTAGGCAAGACTTTTCCATTTCCTGTATTCAAAGTTGTAATAATAGTAGGATCTGAATCATTGTGACATGATACTGTTAATGTTTCTCCAATGACATAGTAAGTCTTAATTTCTCCACAAATTGGATTTAGAATTGTCAATCTCTGTATAATCACTTTTGAATTTGCAAAAGAAATAGCAACTGAATTTCCATTTGTTTTAATTACAGAACACATATATAATGTAGTAACATTGCCATCAGATCCAAAATTTATATTATCTGGTATATTAAAAAGAAGAGTAAAGTTCATTCCATCACCAGAAATTGAAAAATTTTCACCAAAATCTCTGTAGACATCCCTGTTGACATCCCTGTTGTCCGAAATAAATATGAACTCAGTATTTTCAACCTCAAGCCATCGGACACTGTGGTTTTCAGGTAATTTTTCCACTACACAGGGCAATGTAACCTGCTGTCCTGGGAATGTCCTCACCTCTTCAGGTGGCCTGGTAACAAACGCAACATCAGCAGATGTACAGGAAATCAAAACAATCAAGATGTAAACTATATTATGCATCTTGCCTGTCTCTCCAAAAAATGCCATTGGGCTGCAACTTCTGAATCAAAGAAAATAGTTCATATTAAGCACCCATGGCAAACATTTAAATATTGAATGAATGAATGATGCACTGTTTTCACAGTATTTATATAAGTACATCAGAAATTTGATTTTTGTTTGCTACTGTTCTTCAATACAACACAGGGGCGGATCCAGGGATGTCCAAAAGAGGGGCCGAAAGTTGGGCCAATCGAGACACCACTGTCCTAGGGGGACCGCGGGAATTTCCCCCGCAAAATTTTTGTGTTCTAGACGCCCAAAAATAACATTTGAGGCGTTCTGGGCTATCATTTTTTTTTTCTTTTTCTTTTTTTCTTCTTTTTTTTCTTCTTTTTTTTAAACTTTTTTTTCCTCCCAAAATCTGCCCCTGCAACATATCGACGAAAGGTAAGACGGCTTTACAGAAATATAGAAAAGCATTAAAAAGCCATTGCTTGGAAACTTACTGTACAATTACAAATTATAAATTACAACATAACATTTTTTTTAATAAATTATTTATTTTATAATTGTTTTTGCATACCTTATAAAAAGATAAATTAATTTAATATGGTAAGAACAAAAAAAATTGTGTATATAATTATATAAAGACACTAAAATTCTGATTGCACATATTTTAAATTTACAACTTAATTAAATTTTAAGATTATTAATTAATATTTTTACATTTATAGTTCCTGCTATTGAGCAGAATGTATCGCTATCTGTCATTTTGAAGCATTTTTCAAACAGGCAAATCCAGGCCTAGGAGAGGAGGCCTACATGAGAAAACATGATTGGCGGCAGTTGGTGTAGGCTTAAGGAAGATCGTTTAAGCCGCCGCAAAACAAGTTCGACCGCGATGTATAGAACACTTTGTATAGTATGTTTCAGTCAATTCGATTCATTGAATGACTACTAAATATTCCATTCCTATTATTACAATACGATAAATATGTATAATGACTTAAAAAGTTCGTAACCAACAAAAATAAGATAAGCTTTGAGGCTAACTTCTTGACCTCATGTCATTTAAAAATTCATAACTCTATAACAGTTTCGTATACTAATATTTTTTCTTGAAAATGTTTTTAAAGGGGCTATTCTATACTACTATGTGGTTTAACATAAATTAAATTCCTCAACAAAAAAATACTGTACTGTACATGTCTAGGCCTACTTAATATAGTTTTACTAACAAGTCTAAGTGATTTTCCTGATTGATGACAAAAGAATGCACAGTATTATACTGTAGTAGTTGTGCTCAGCTTTGGTATTTTTATGAAACAGGTCTCTAACTTCACAATCTACATTGACAAATACCGTACTCGTGCGAATAAGCGCCCGGGCGTTTAAAATATTTTTTGCACTTTCTGAGGGGCGCTTATTCGAATGGGGCGCTTATGAAAACAGAGTGGAAATTGAGGGGGCGCTTATGGAAATAGATGAAAATCGAGGGGTTCTTATGGGAAATTATTTTAATAATTAAAAATTAAAGAGTCACTTTTTGAATGAAAAAAAAGATTATATAAGGACATTACGAATGGTGGTTAGAAAAGATAATCGTCCAGAAAACATGGCCCATAACAAGAATGCGTGAATATTTACATAACAGCAAAATAGCAGATGCAATTAGTGGTGGGTAGTGGTTGTTGGCCATCAGCCGATTGAGATTAGCAGGATGGCAGGATCATTGTGTTTTTCTTGAAAACTCAGATGAGAATGTGCTTAAGGTCGAAAAAAGAGGAGTAGGACTAGACATAGACAAATATGTAAAAAGATTAAAGTTGGAAATATACTGTCTGTCCAGGGATTGGAGCTCTCATCTGTCCAGGGATCGGAGCTCTCATCTGTTCAAGAGAAATATCCTTATTTTGATATTGACTAAAGAAGAATGTGTTTCCACTCTACAGCTCAAATCATGCCAACAACCACAGTCCAAGGATTGATTGGATTATTGACTTGCTAAAAAAAAAAATCTTATGAGGGGGCGCTTATTCAAATTAGAAGGGACGCTTATTCAAACGGAGCGCTTAAAGAAATTTTCAAGATTGAAAAAGAAAAGCCTATCTTAGTAGTGTATTAAAATAGGCCAATGAATTACAGTGCAGTATCATAGGACTTTCGTGTTGTTACTGTTCCAAGTAGCGATAATATACATATTTCTCTTATTACAAAGTACAAGTTATGTTTTATAAAGAGGTATAGTATAGTAAATCATGGTTTTAACACAGGAAACTCTCATATGGTAACTAAAACAATGCTAGTTCAGAGTATTACTAGTACTACAGCACTGTAATGCATATACCTATTTTAATACACTACTGAGATAGGCTTTTATTTTTCAATCGTGATTTCAGAGGTCAAACAAATTTTTCAATTTTTTTTCAATCATATAGTGGTGTAGACTAGTCTTTTAAGAACATTTTGCTGGAAATTTTTTTTGGATACGATGCCCCGTTATAGAGTTATAATTTTTTAAATAACATGATGTCAAAAAATCCGCCAAAAAGCTTACCTTATTTCTGTTGGTTACGCACCTCTGATTCGCAATGTTTGTCATCACTTCAAGATGTCTACCGATTCGTGAAAAAGGCCTATTAGTGAAGAAATACTAACTTTAAAGAACATCCATTTATGAGATGATCCCTTAATCACATCCTTTGGTATCTGATGTATAACTAAACTTACTACTGTAATGGGAAAACTTACTTAAACTCTAAATAAAGTTATAAAGTACATTAAGCACAATAAATGGCACTCACCAGAACTTGTAGAACCTTATGTGCTCCAGTATAGATAATTCTTAAAGATAACACCCTTATGATGCTACTTATATTCTTTAACTTTATTGAGACACAAATATCCTTGCTTACTTGTTGAGATCTTAGGTGTGACTGAGGAGCATTCCAATGGGATGATGCTTTATTATTCAGGTTTATTTATTCAAATTCAAATCACAAAAAGGAGGACAGGTACAAAAATTCACAAAGCAAAAATCAATAGCAATATAAAATTGAATTGGAGACTAATGGTGTTAAAACAGAATTACAATAAAATTACAAAAATACATTAGAAATACAAGTAGAAAATATAAAAATACATTGAATTAAAAGCAATATTATTTAAAATTACTAATTTATGTACAATTGAATTATGTATTAAAATTAAAAAATATTATTTATTATTATTCTCAATTTCAATTATTATTATTATTATTTATTGCACTTGAGCTAATCCAATTATAACTAATGCGGTAGAAACTGTCTGAAAAAGAAATCACACTGTGGACTTCACTTGCTATTCAGTAGGGATGTCATATACGGAAGGGGGCTATTTCTTAACCTCACATTCTTGAATTTATATTCTTTGAAGTCTTTGGTATTACGGAGGTTCATAGAGTGAACCTTGTCCAACAGTGGAAACCAGTGTTTAAAGCGCTCGGATTCCACAGCCTTCCTTGCAAGTTTAGCACACAGTGAGGTTCTGCGGTCAGACAGTCTCTCCAATTTAAGAACGTTAAGAGCATCTTCATAATTGGTAAATGACTTTGATAAAATACATCTACAAACCCGTTCTTGGATTCGCTCAATCTGTTTTGTTTGTTCTGTTGTTAATCCTGGATGCCAGACAGGGGCTGCGTACTCAACAGTATGTCTTACATAGCATTTGTAAAGTTGGACAAGTTCTTTATTATTTAGGCCTGCTCGTTTAAGCGCCCACATTAAATACATTTTTTTATTAGCGTTTTTAACAATAGCCCTAGTATTGGTATTCCATTTCAAATCATCATCGAGGTGAACACCAAGCAGCTTCACAGTGT